AACACAACGTCTCCTCATGGACAAAAGAACCGGAACACTCTAACCGGAAGTCGTCGTCATTGAACAACGAGCTCAGGTTCTTGCAAAGGTTTGACGTTGATTCATCAGCTGGTGCATTCGTCTTCCCACCGCAGCCCATGCACACCTCCAGTACCTTATATTATCAGACCATTCTGTTCATATGAATGTATCGTTGATACCTGTACCTGTTATTCATTATGTAATTATGTTTTGAAGTGTGTCTTTGAGTGTGTCCTTGTGTGTCCATGTTGAAACGGCCTTTGCAAAGACTTCACACACGTGGCATGTGTTTGTTGACTATACCGACCGGACATTCACTATATTGCTACATGTGTTACAAATCCTTTAATGATCGTACCTGAGGGAAATATACTGAGTGGTAAAAGAAACTTCACTGTGTGATGTTTCTGACAGTACCATAATCAGGGCACTATAAATGAACAAGAGACTGCCTGATGCTTGTGAACACGTGGTTGGGGATTCTGCGCCATTGCTCTTGCAAGGCAGCGCCAAGTTCCTGCAAATTCTGAGGTTGGTTCCTAAGACCACGAAGCTTTCTCCCAAGTGCATCCCAAACGTGCTCTATTGGATTAAGGTCAGGGGACCTCGATGGCCAGTCAATGACGTTGATTCCAGCGTCTTGAAGGAAATTTCGTGCCAACATCGCGGTTTGCGGCCGAGCATTATCATGCTGGAACTGTAGACCTGGGCCATGAGCCGCAATGTAAGGAACGAGTTCAGGGGGTGAGCACCTGGTCGCGGTAAGCAGCAGCTGTCAGGTTTCCACGGATGACCAGAAGTCGGGAACGGTTGTTCCCTCAGAAAGCTACCCACACCATGCAACTTCCGCCCCCGAATCTGTCGACTTCCTGTACACAACATTGGACATACCGTTCACGACGTCGTCTCCAGACTCTATGCCTGCCGTCCGCGAATCTGAGGGTAAACCTGGATTCATCGGTAACTACGACTCGATTCCAGTCTCTCTGGGTCCACCGGAGGGACCCACAGCAGACGTTGACGTTGATGAAACGGCGTCAATATTGGCCCACGATGGACGTTGGAGAGCCCGCAACCGATTTTGAATGGTCTGTGAGGACAGCCGACCTCTAAACATCTCAGCCCTGGTTCGTGTAGCCGGCAGAAATCTGTCACGTAGCTATAGGTGACGTAGGACGATTTGACGGTCTTCTGCTCGTGACGTCACACGTGGACGACCCGACCTTGGGCGATCAGAAGTGGTGCCAGTTTGTTGTAGACGACCTCGCAAGTCATACACAGTACGACGGCTGCATCCCATTGCTCTTGCGACGTCAATAACTGATCTTCCCGCTTGCAACATGTTCACGTTGCACATTTGACAATCGTGGCATTTCAAGTACCGTTAGAACTGTAGTTTAAAAGTGTTTATTCAATTCTTGAGGCCAATGCAAACACGTGCATATGAAGAAAACTTCGAGGCGAAGATCATGTGATCGACTGCACGTGCAAAACCTGATTTGGCACTAACGTCATTTGCACGACGAATGGATGGGTTTGAGTGGGCTTTGCTAACGTTATCTAGAGTCGAAAGATAGGGATCCCATTTCGGATACACAGATGTATCATCAGAGACAAAATTATTCATTATTTTTCAAATTACATTTTGTGAAGTTTCTTTTTTGACTCAGTATAGTTATAATACCCCAGTTGGTTGTCGCCGTCACGATCAGCTGTATTTCGAGATAAATGTTGATAGGAATGTAGTAAAAACATGTTTCCAGTTAATTGTTTACATGTGTTGTATACATAAACGAACATTGTAACCAGTGTGCGAAATTGTTTCCAAATTTTGCTGGTCAGTCGGGCTAGCTGTGCCTGAAAGTTACTAGCCCACAAAATAGTTCAGTAGTCCGTAATTTGAATGCAGACACGGGTTTCATAATTAAGCTGCTGATATGATGAACATTTTTATCAGGCCATAGTCTTGCATGATTTAAAAGTGTGTTATAACTTAACAAGTTGGAGAGAGTGGCATATTTACAAGTGTGTTATAACTTAACAAGTTGGAGAGAGTGGCATATTTACAAATAAATGACCCCATGAACATTCACTAGATAGTCGGGCCAGTGACTGTGGAGATTCACTGGCCCGACTGGATTTTTACTAGCCACAGGCTAACATCTCTGTGATAATTCTTTTGTGTGTTGCCATTCGAAATAAGCTTTAGCCATGGATAACTTTAGCCATCATGGCGACGGGTTTCAGACATTCGGCAAACAGAAGCGACAAAACCCTTTCCACATTCATAAGAAATGTCTGCTAAAAGCGGAGTCGATTGTACATCGACTATATCATGAGCATATATTTGTTTCAGCAGTATTACTGCTGTATGATGTTGTTTTTAAACAAATCGAGTCTGGACCAGACAATCCAAAGTTCGTGTTCAAATTTGGAAACCATCTTCCTTAAATGTCCATGTTTTGCATATAGATATTCTCTTTTGTATAATTTATGCGTACAATATCTTATTTTGGAGAAAAAAGGAGTAAATGTGTCATTTAACAATTATTATTAAGCCCCCCAGAAGGGTGCACATCATTGAAGGTCCCCAAGTCATAGTTGTAAGAAACTCTGTTTTTTAGGGATTACACGACCTAAACAGCACAAATGTTCGTCCTAAATGATTAATGTCAGACATCGGAATGGTACTCAAGTTTGAAAATATACGACTCGAACACAGAATTATTATGAAACACTATGATTAATGTGTATTGTTTGCAGAATTTATTGTGTACATGGTGTTGTCAGCATTATTGAGGAAGAAGATTTTGCCTAATAATGGCTCAGACTCTGACAAGGATAGTGAAGGAGGTGATGGGTCAACTATTGACAATATGACAGGTTGAATTTTAATTTTGAATGAATTAAGAAGATCTACCAAGAACTAGCTGAAATTAAATTTGTAATAATGTTAGTATCTTAAGAGAGGCAATTAGCATGAATTTTCAAGGAAGATGTCACTGTTCTTTACAGATATACTCAATAAAACCTCGGGACCTTCGCCCCCTGTTAGGGTGCAGAAGCAGATTTTGCAATTTCTAAAACAACTATACAAATACATTAAAAAACAGCACTCAATTATTTTCGTGAAAACCAAATAGCAAAACTATACTAGAAAATTGGCAATATTAAAAAATGGGATTAATGGGTTACAGCTGACGTGTACACGAAAGAAAACATTTTTTCTTATGTTAAATAAATCGGAAATTTAAAATTAGTTGATATCAGTATTTGAAAATATGCACTCATTTTTTTCACATTGAAGGTTGAACGCTCTATATACGTAACTGCTACGCTATGCTATTATAAGGCCTTTGTCCACCTAGCTGAACAGGTCTGAATTACCACCCTTCATTGTGACGTAATTGGTGCAAATTTATTTAGAATGGTCTCGTGTCTAGTCTGAAAGCTAAAGGTATCTGCAGTGAATTTAATCACATGAAAACGTACGTGCTGAATACAAAATATGCATTATAATTGAAAGTATAAGCTACAAGATAAACTGATTGTGTATATTTCCATTCATAAACCTCACCTCAAAGAAAATAACACATATGTATAACAATGCTGATGTTCGTATGACATCACTATCGATAAGCGACTTTCACAAAGTAGAGTGGTCACAGAATATTAGGAAGGAACCATTCAGGGACCGTATATGCATAATTATCTTACCTCACATAAATATCGTTTTCTGATTTGCTGAGCGCTCTTCTATTATTTCCAGTGTACCCAGCTTACAAGCGAGTAACATTTTCTGTTACCCGCTGGGCATGCCGAACTATGGGAATTCATTTGGTACTTAGTGTTAGTAATTCTTTATCTCGAATAATTGAGTCACGCATGGTGTACGGAAATTACCGTTGTTTTGCGAATGCAAGTCGATGGAAGGGAGATGACTCTAAAAAAAAATTTCTTGTCTGTTGTCGGTATCGGCTAATTGCCTAACTCTGATACTCATTATAATGCCGATACCCGTGCTTCAAACAGTTTAGAATTAACATTGTGATGTTCGGTAAGATAAATACAGTGCTCACAGGTCCCCCGGGGCCCATGGGTTGATGTACCCTCCATGTTTGTTTATGTTCCCTGAACCCGAACACAACATAGATGGTACATCAACCCATGACCCCCCTCGAGACCAGTGAACACCGTATAATGTGACATGTAAGTTATCAACAAAATCTCTGTTGGTTTCTTTTCGTTTTCATTGTAATCAAAGTTAATAGTAAAAAAATATTAGAAGTACTGTTAACGTTGTTCCTGAGTTACCCATGGCGTCACGCTTGGTGGAAATACTTTTAAATTGTGGGGACTGTACCAAATCACTGAATACATTTATTTTTAGTTCCTTATAATTCTTGCTACGAGACTCTTACTGCTGAATATTCCAAAACGAAGGAACAATATCTATCACAATAGGCACTAAGTGTAAAATCAGAACCTTCCTTTGCTTACATTTGATACAAATGATGTTTCCCTTGAATTTACCTTTACACTAGATATTGCTGACAAAGTCTCTGGTCAATTTATTGTAAAATCCATGCATGAAATTCAGGTATTGATGTAAGGAACCTGAGTTTGAATTAAACAGGATGTAATATGCGTAACATAACTGACATACGTGTCAGGTGAATTTATAAATACTCGGCAATATTGATGGAAGTTCATTTCAGCGTTCGTGTTTGCAAAGTTGACGATTGATTTAGTAGGAAAATCCTAGAATAAAGTCACATTCATCTAATGCATGTACGTTTTTGGATTTGCTGAAAGAGTTTCTGGAAGTACAATGAACTCGAGTTTAATATTAGACAATTTGGTTTCACTGTATGCAGAAATAACAACGTTGCAACATTCACATTACCGCACACGAAGTCAACAGGAGGCCGGACAAAATGAGGGTTAAAACAATAGCCTGCGCATCGAGACACAAGACCCACACACCCTTACACTACGGGAAAGGGGTACTGCTGCTGTGGCTATGCAACTACTACATACACTCTTTTTGTGTTGAAACACGGCAAAACAAATGGATGTGTTCTCTACTAAACGTGCTGCGTGCAAGGTGGAACAAGTTCCCAATGAGGTTCCGAGCTTCACATACGCTGAGCTAGTCATCAGCAGCAGGAAGACGAAACGGAAAACCTGAAAACCTGAATCAGTGTTTAAAGTTATTAAAGCAACGATCAGGCGACATACACGATGCGGCGATCGTGGACTACACACAGGGCAGGAATTTAAGAGTACCGTGTATTTTATGTTGATACTGCAGGACCTGCTTTTACCAGGTTTATTTCGTTCTTGGTGTTAAATATTATATGTCCGTAATGGTTCGATGTTTTATCACAATGAGTTTATTTTACATCTATGGGTGTATAGAGTGTATATCTCGTTTTCAGGTAACTATGAAACTGTTTTTCATCATCATGTTGATCTGTATGGCTGACTCCACTCAAGGTAAGAAAGACGAAAGTAAATGTGACTATGTTAGGCTATGAAACAGCATTGAAAGTCATAACTTCTCTACGGGTGTAGAGCCTCTGTCTTCGTGCTTATGTCGACACCTCTACTGAAACAAACCAGGGATTCTGGGCCCATCAACAGATTTACTTGCTGACGCGCTGCTGGTCCAGCGTTACGCGTATGTTGTTTGTACACCTTCCATATATGCACTGTGAGTGTCTCTGACATACGATGTCGAAGGTCAGAGTGTGTGTACTAAGAAAGACTATGTGTAGTATGTGCTTTCCGTGATCTGATTAGAATATGGGTATGATTTTTTTTGAACAATCAAACGTACAACAATTGAACCTTCCAAATAGACAGTTTATCGCGATGCAATTACCCAAATGTGTTGCACCTGGCTCATACCGAAACCACTGACGTCATGAAACTGTACACAGAGTTCAACTCACTAACTACGGTGTTTACATCTTTATTTGTGTGCGCATGTAGTTGTCTTCTGGGACTATTCTATTTACTGTTAATGTTAACAGCGATCCAGGTTATATGTTACGTAGCATTACCAGATCTGTTTACTTGACAGGTGCAGAATGTATAGAGGGACAGCGTTGTTCTGGCTGCGATGAGAGGGGCAATTGCTTACACAGTTGTGAGAGAGGCTATTTTGGAATGAAATGCAAGTCCCATTGCAGCAGCACATGCAGATATAAAACATGCCAGCTAGATCCAGGTAAAGGTACAAGCAAGTGTACTGATGGCTGTGTACCAGGATACCAAGGCGTACGTTGTGAGAGACCATGTGACAGTCACGTGGCCAACTGTAAACTGTGTCCAGGTGGATGTGACGGGGAGTACTGTCAGCTGGGTGATGCTTGTTTTGCCGGATGTCGAGATTCCAGGTACGGATCAGGATGCAAGACGTGTCACAGTAACTGCAGAACCTGCAACAGGATGACAGGAGTATGTGACGAGTGTGACCCGACACATTATGGAGTAAACTGTGAGAAGACGTGTGAGAACTGTGCAGGATCCTGTGAGGCTGGCTGTGAATGTGTTCCTGGCTTCTACGGGGACTTCTGTGCCGAGACGTGCAGCAAAACATGCCGCCCCAAGTCAGCCCACAAGTGTCTTCCTGCTGTGACGTCAGACAGATGTACAGGTGAATGTCACAAACACAGCGCCACGTGTCTCCATGGCTGTGTGGATGGCTGGTTCGGCCCGAGGTGTTCTTCTCCGTGTAATCCTGGATGCCGCCATCAAAGATGTAATGCAGCAGGTTCCTGTGCTGAAGGCTGCGAACTTCATCATTTCGGGTCAGCCTGTGAACCTTGTCCTGAGAACTGCGCCAACCGAACATGTGACCAGAGCACTGGTGCCTGTGTGACGGATTGCAGTCCCAGCGAAGAAGGAAGTGAGTCTAATTGTACATCCACCTGCACCCCTCCAGGATGTTCTTCAGCATATCGTAATGCGAGTAAGTATTTCTTTAATCACAAATAGGTATTTTTAAACTTACCTTATCTCACGTCTTGTACTCGCTCTTCAATTCGACCTCCTGAGTGGAAACGAACTGCAAATAAAACTTCTTGGCCTCACTTGCCCATACACCCGTGCACCCCATGCTTCCCCCCGTGCAACCCATGCTGCCTGTGCACCGCCTGGGCACCCTCCTGGGAAGCGATCAGCACGCAACACCTCCTGCTCACGCGACCAGCTTAGCTTAATCATTACCCTTGAAGATCGGGTTAGAATATTGATCTCCAGTAACCCATGCTTGTCGTAAGAGGCTGCGAACGGGATCGGGTTGTCAGGCTCGCTGACTTGGTTGACACATGTCATTGGTTCCCAGTTGCGTATTTCGATGCTCATGCTGTTGATCCCTGGTTTGTCCGGTTCAGACTTGATTTTTTACGGACCGGTGCCATATAGCTGGAATATTAATGAGTGCAGCGTAAAACTACATTCACCCTCTCACTACCTTAATCGTTATCTTTCTTGTCGCACAATGGTGTGGTTGAATACTGCAATGTCTCAGTTTTTGTACGTTACTCTTCTACTAATTCATCATGGGCAAAAACGATAACCAATCTAGGAACAGAATGTTTTCTGCAGCGAACCCCAACACTTTGTTTGTGGACTGTATTGATTTCTGCAATTGGGATCAGCACTGCGATCAGTGCAGACACATTCTTTTTCATTTTTATTTCGGTACACCTGGGTTAGATGTTCGTTCGAAACTATATATGAAGCAAAACAAAATGCATATGGTTACATGTTCAGGTGTCAGGTAGTCATGTATCAATGTCTAAGAAAAATTAATACCATTGTGCCATTACGTGGTACATTTATGGTACATACGTAAGTATTTTCTTCACTAATATCATCATTACCTGGTAATGATGATATTAGTGAAAATACTTACGTCTGTATCATAGGTTCAGTTAATGGTAGCTGGCCTATCCATATGTATCAAATGATGCCATTTCTTATTGAAAGTGTTGGCTTTCAGATTAATATTTGCAATTTTTATTTTTCAATATACATTGTGTCCTTCAGTTTTTACAAACGAGTCAACGCAAAGCTTTTTTGAGTTAATACTGTTATTGTGAATGACATTTTTAACAATCAAAATCAAGTGATTTTGTAATACAAAGCATCTGGGTAGTCCAACCTCCTTTGATAGTTCACATCTGTTCTGTTCATAAATTATGCTACCTGCTTCCAGAATCTATTAATATGTGTACATTCATAATAAATTGGATGAATAATTTCATTTTCTATTTCACAAAAAAACATGTATTTTTGTCTATTAGTTTCATTTTTTTTGTTTCCTTTCTTGTGTTTATTGCTCATTGTAAGAATTCATATTGAAAATCGGCTTTTTATTTTAAAACAAGTTTGGGTTTTTGTACTGATGATTAAGCCATAGAGGTTCATCGAGGATATTCTAGGATAGAGGTTCGTATGGGGTACTATGATTTTGCAAATAATAGTGTTTCAAAGTATCTTTCCAGAAAGGATTGTCAGTTAGAAATTCTCTTTCGATACTAGCACCTACTAAGAATAAATTTGAGATCGGAAAATTCAGGAGTCTAGTCTCTTTTTTTGTATATCGTCGCAGAAATGGTATTTTTAGTGCTGAGATAAAGTTATCAATATCCTCCATCCTTAATCCTCCATCCTCATAGTCTCTTATTAAAGTAGTTCTCTTGAAATTATCCTCCTTACCATCCCAAATAAAGTTGAACAGGATCTATTGATATTATTTACAAATTCATTTGGTCGAGTTGGTAAGGCTGAGAATATATGAACTAATGTGGATAGTATCAATGATTTTATTATAATAATTTTACCTATTAAGGTCAGCTTTCTTTTCTTATAGTTTGCCAGAAGATTACTTATTGTTTTTAGTCTTCTTCTGGTATTTATGACCCAGAGATTGTCCAGCTTTGGACTTAAAGTAATTCCAAATACTTCGAAGTCAGAGTTTATCCAATTTAATTTTCTATCTTCACATAGTGTTGCATTAGAGTTTGCCTTGATCCTAGCCATATTGCTTTGGTCTTCTCAGTATTCACCTTAAGTCCACAGATTTGATGAAAAGTGTCCACCAGTGTATCTAGAGCACTCTTCACGCTATACTCAGATCCATCCAGGAAAGGTTCAATGTTGTCACCATATTGATCTAGGTTATGTTCTTTGTTATTTATTTCTATTCCTTTTATGTGGACATTATTTCTGATCATAATTCCAAGTACCTCTGCAACAAAAAGAAAGAGATATGGGGACACTGGATCGCCCTGACGACAACCCCGTCCGTTTTGAAAACACGAGGACACAACGTCATTGGGAATTATACATGAGTTAGCGTTGTTGCTGAGGATTCTTATCAATTTTATCATTTTTGGCCCCAAACCGATTTTTTTTTACACTTTGAGTATTAATTGTTTTGAAACAGTATCAGATGCTTTTTGAAAATCTATTACAATTAACAGGCCTGGTCTATCCTCATTTTTCAGCTCATATATTATGTCATACAGGTTTCTAATATTACCAGTAATACATCGCCCATGAATCCTGTTTGATTTCAATCAACGAGGTACTGAAGTGTTGTTTTATTTTAATCTACTGGTGATACATATTCTGGACCTTTCACAGAATCAGACTAATTGATTCGTCCAATCAACAGTCGTCGTCTCGTTTCGCCTCTGGTTCGCCGTTTCGCCAGTCTTCTAGGGATCGCTACCATTCGTCAGGTCGTTAGGAGGCTATCCCATCAATCATGCTCCCGGATCATGGCCATTCATCGAATAGATTGCATTCGGGGAGCCAGTCCCACTCGTCGAACCGCTTCCATTCGGCGAGTCAAACCCATTCGGCGGATCAAACCTATTCAGCGAACCTTTCCCATTCAACGACCCATCTACTACTTCCCATATTTCAATGATGCTGTCTTTCACGGACCTTAGGCCATCTATTGACACCTCTTTTGATGACCATGTCTCTTCTGGTTAGGCCTTACATTGTTTCCGAGTCGTGGGACCGATCTCAGGACAACCCGCCTGCCTCTGGCCCGACTTTGACATGATGGTGCGGTCGATATAAGCTGCATGGCTGCAGATGCACTCATCAACTCGTTCATTCAGCGAGCACCCTCTCTCTCTCTCTCTCTCTCTCTCTCTCTCTCTCTCTCTCTCTCTCTCTCTCTCTCTCTCTCTCTCTCTCTCTCTCTCTCTCTCTCTCTCTCTCTCTCTCTCTCTCTCTCTCTCTCTCTCTCTCTCCGATGTTTTTCCTCCCTTGACTCAACAAACGTTATTGAAGGTTATCTACTGAGTATCCACTTCCGTGATACAATTCATAAATAGTTTGTCCTGGTTAGAGTGGTGTCAGCACAAGGTTCAAAAGTTATTGTTCATGAGGTCCAAAGTGCACTGTCCATACATAACGGCTACATTGCATTTTGATCCCTTTTCATCATATATCATACAATAGGGCACCTTAACAGTACATAAATGTGATGATACGCTGGCTAAATGTGAATTAACAGGATAACGGACAGACATAAAGGCACTCATGAAACAAGAGACCCAACAGTTACCATGCTATGTGCTTCCTGCTCCTACTGTCGTGTATGGATGTGTGCAGGAGCAAGTTACAAAATGTTTCGTCAACAAGGAGAAGATACAAGAAAGGGTCTCCTTATGACTCCCAACCCAACTTCCTAATTAGTGAATACATTACTGTTCATTTCGACAGCCAACTCTCTCGATCGTGCATTATACCCCTAAATATGACACGATATTGGAAATGAGTACAAACTTCTGTGAAACTTGACTGAAGATAAGATTTATGATCTTACAATAACAAGGTGTCACTATGTATACGATGGAGAGGATTTTGTTGCTTTTAATCACCATCAAATGCTGATGGTTCCATGAAAGACTAGCAATGATTCGTTGTCTCCAGACTTGGTTTCATGTGTATGTTTTGTTTTGTCAGCTCTGCCGGAGGTGCATCATACGAGCTCAGCCACCCTGATATGGGTTGTGTGTACAGCAGTCCTTTTCGTCCTGGTTGCAAGTTCCGTATGCTGCGTCTGTTTCCGTAAAGGGCCGTGTGTACAAAGGTAAGTTTAGCTGCATTATGCATTACAGTCGTCGGAGAGACTGTTCTTACCCAGGGTGTTTAATATATGTGTGAGTGAGTGAGGACATGTTACGTGTTAAGCACGTATTTGCAGAGAAACAAGAACAATGTCTATTCAATGAAGGCAGATCAAGAACAGGTACCTCCCAACTCCTTTGGTTTTGGCGGCACAAAGGATATGCTACGTGCTACACGTTTGAGCGAAAGTTTGTTTGATGAACCTAAAATGTACTCAATAATATTTCAGCCATATCGCACAGCTTGACCACGCGGTCCATTTTGAGAATACAAAAGACAAGATCTTACTCACCGGTCTAGGGGAGGGTATTAACCAAATTCAACATTCCGTTTTCAATGTGAAAAAGTAATGCAAAAATGATGAAAAACAAAATAAATCGTTTTTGCAAATAAGTTAAATGTCAAGCACTCGCAGAATAAAGAAGTTGTATATCCATAAAAGAATGTCCTCATTCTTCCTCTCCTCAAGTTCTAGAAATGTCAATCAAAGTGTCAAGTGTTACATGTATAATTGTTAACACAATTCAAGCAAGTCGTTGCATTTAAACAAACTTGTATTTTGAAGCCTGATGACAAAAACATCTGTGACATGCTGGACTTCCTCATAGGTAACTTCTATGCTCATTTGGGCAGGAAGCTGACATCCCCCTCCGCACTTAGTAGATAGGAACATCCAAACCTTTTATATAATCATAAGAAATCTCTGCTGAAAGCAAAGCCTATGGTACATATACTATATCCCGAGCATGTGTTCATAAGTCACTATATATTACATTAGAGTACGGAAGCCGTGTGATCCATGTAAAGCCACAAAGAAAGTTTTCAAAAGCTTTTATGCAGAGAATTGTAACTATTTGGCGTATTAATAACACATATTATGTTCGTTGCAATTAGCTATTTTGACTTAAACCATAGGTTCCCGGTTTTGTTGCAGCTAAACCGTTGACTAACATTTGCATATGTTGACGAAGGGAGCCATTGGTGGGGAAGGATAGGCTCGCCTTCCACTGGTTTCACCTGTTTTCATCACTATTTGAGATTGATTAATGAACACATGCTCATGATACAGTCCGAACTGTACAATCGACTTGTTTTTGTAGATTTTGTTATGCCTAGCATTGTAAAGTTACTAAAACCTTCAGTAACCTAAAATTTGAAAATATTTGTAAATTGAAACCTTCATCTTTCTACATATTTATGTATCTTCTCGACTTTAAGGCCAGGATTCACTTTTAGAAAGGGCATGTTCATGCTCAGCGCACAGTTTGGTTGTTGTCGTGACTGTTTGGGAATGTGATACTTACACACCTAGCTTCTGGATTTCAACATCACGCAATGATTAATCAGCTGTCGGATGATAATAACGCTTTTTGCAAACCTGGATAGGTAAATGTTGCAAACGAAGCCATTAGACCTTGTAATGTTCATCAAATACAATGTCATCTCACTGAAGACTTTATAGACAGGATTTGAATGAACCTGTCGTCAACGTGTGACGAAACAACAAGACAACTATACTCAAATGGTGTTCTTTTACGGAACTGATACACTAAAGGTTCAGACAATTTGTGAATTGAGACCAATTATTGTCAAAACACTTAGCAAGGGCGTTCAAGCAACACAATACGACGTCGTCTAGCTAAATGTAGACTGCATCTGAGGTTTGAAGATAAGGACTGGGCCCCGTTTCACAAAGCTATCTTAGCGCTAGGACTGTCGTAAGTCTATGCTACAGTATGGGAGTTACGATCACCTTAGCGCTACGATCGCTTTGTGAAACGGGACCCAGGACACTATACTGAGAACAGCAGGATGCTCTATGGATGACACCTTCTGTATTACATTATGAACCCGTGAAGATCGGGGTTAGAATTGATCTTCAGTAACCTATGATTGTCGTAAGAGGCCACTAACGGGGTCGGGTGGTCAGGCTCGCCGTCTTCGTTAACACATGTTAACAATATGTTAACAAAGCCACAATAACTCGGTGCGCCTAATGGCTGCAAGAGTTGTATACTCCCCAGGGAGTTGAGATTGATAATATGATGTGCCGTTGAGACTGACATCCAATGATCGAGGGAAAAAATACAATCGCCTTGAGCATGCACTAGTGCGTGGATATGTGCGCTATATAAATATTCTTTAATAAAATAAAATAAACATGTCATCGTATCCCAGTTGCGTAGATAGATGCTCATACTGTTGATCACTGAATTGTCTGGAAGAGTGCAACGTTAAATAACAAACAAACAAGACACTTAATGTCGGAATATGCAGATATCTATGCTTCGTATGTTTGTAAGCATTACCTTTCTTCAAACCAATACATGAAACCAGAAATGAAAATATGCAGACCATGTGTTCTGACACTAACAGTCAGTTTAACTAAGTGTTATATTACTTCTAGTTACAGTCTGATGTCATTGCAAAACAACAAACATGAGTTTTGAGCAGGAAACTTTGACCACATATTGAGCAAAGTTTCTTTGAACCTACACGCAAAACAACTTAAAAGTGATTGATGTAATTTATTGTGTGTGTACATACACATTTGTATTTTTTTGTAAAACGAAACATGGATTTTTGAGCAGAGGAAATGTTTCTGGCATATGGACCTTAATGGTCTAAAATTAGAGGTTTCGGGGAAATACTCTTGTTTTTCAGTGTGTACCCATAAAAAAACATCTTGTAAGTATCTCCGGCCGCAGCGCGGACAGATTCGTGACAGACTTATTTTAGAACTGGAAAGGGAAGGATAAATCAATATTCTATCCGACTGTTTGTCGATCGTCATTCCTGTTCAAATGTTTTTGGACTTTTTTCGGATTTGAAATGATAAATTTCCATTTATATAAATCCGTGTGCTTCATTATAACAGCACTGGGAAAAATGTAATTTGTCACTGTCGTTATGAGTCGCCATCATTTAGCAGGAATACTGCCAAAAGAAGGCATTAAACAACAGGCAAACAAGACACATCATCGTTACATGTGGCTTCTATAACGTTCTGTTTTATCTCTTTTATTCAAACAGGTCAACCCATGCTGAAACTGGAACAAACAACACAGACGCCACTTACATGCACTACCAGGAAATGGACAAGTACTGGGAAATCAGAGAAAATGAAGCGGAAGTGGGCGAAGGGATACCGAATCAGAACCACGACAGTACAAGCGATGTCAGCGATGACGCACTGCCTGTGTTAGCAGATTACTTTCCGGGAGATGTCAACGTAGAGGCTGGAGATGGCGACATTGAAGCAGGCGATGGTGACAAGAAGCAGGCGATGGTGACATTGAAGCAGACGATGGTGACATTGAAGAAGGCGATGGTGACAATGGAGCAGGAAATGTCGGTGATTCAGTTTCCGACTCCTACACACACCTCACGCGGGACGTTCCCACTCCTGACCTAAGAACAGTCGTTACATATTTATCACCACTTGAGGACAATTAGTCGATATCCATTTCCCCCCAGTGTATGCCAAAGCTGGAAGCACGGGGTGATAACACTGAAGCCCATGTTTATTACACTGAAGTAGAGGATGGAGACACAAGTAGAGAACAGAGACACTGAAGTAGAGGATGGAGACACAAGTAGAGGATAGAGCCAGCCACTGAAGTAGAGGATCACACAAGTCAGTGACTGCCCAACATCCCACATACACAGTATATATGTTTGTTGTTTACCGCTGCACCCAACTATTAGGCAATCTGTAAATATCAAGTCTGGACCAGACAAACCAGTGATTGTCATTATGCCCAACATTCCAAGGGGACTGTACACTTGTTGTTTAACGCTGCACGCAACTATATTGCACTGCTACAGTAAAGCAATCTGTAAATATGAAGTTAATCATTTAATAAAGACTTCCCACTCGTAAAAGTGCTTTCGTCTTATGCTTTGTGGTGGTATGTTTTTAAGTATGGGACTAATCCTTGATTGAATTGAAAATAACTGTCAATATTGTTGGAATTGATCGTTTTATGTTCTGTTGTAAAGTGCATTGTGGTCTATACAAATGGTCTGTTATGATGTATCTAGCATAGATGTAAAGACTCACTAATACCATGATTTTTCATAAGAAGATACATGCGCTATAAAGACAAGTCAGGTACATTGAAATATTTGGATAACGATTTCATTCGCGTGTGAAGGTTTAACACTGATTCTGCTAGTTTCTGTATGGATGACTGTGGCTTCCTGACGGTATCGATCAGAAAGGTCATTGTGGAGCTGTGGAGCTAAACAAAAGGTGCCTGGATCGATGAATGCGGTGTCTTTCATAACTTGCAGGCTCTTTCAGTATTGTCACAACCCTAGTGTGCAGTACACAACCCTGTGCACTTAAAAGAACCCACTCATCCGACGGTAGGTGACCAAATGGTGGACACACGAACACGTGCAGACACCTAGTTGCCTAGTTACCGTGCAGTATCATTGGACAAAATACTGTGAATATATGTCCCAGTCCACCTAGATGCAAATGGGTACCTTGTGGGGATGAGGCTGTGTGATAATTCGCTGCGCCTAAGAGGCTACATGAGTTGAATACTCCCCAGGGAGTTGAGATGGTTAAAAGAATGCCAGAAACAAAAGACATCCGTTGATCAAGGGAACACTCAAGCGCCTTGATCATGTACTAGTTGCGTGGATATGTGCACTATATAAATATTTGATCATCATCAATTGTACTGTGGCAAGCATAATGGACATTATAAGTTGTTCACTGGTCACGAGGGGGACATGGGTTGATGTACATCTGTGTTTGTTTATGTTCCCTGAGCACCTCTATGTTAATTTTGGACTGTTGAAGCACGGGTATCGGATTAAATAGGAGTACCAGAGTTAGGCAGTTACCCAATACCACATGACATAGAATCCAGCAGACCACAAGAAAAACAAATTTGGGGTTATCGACCTTCCATCGACTTGCATTTCCGTACATCATACAGGAGTCAGTTATTCGAGATAAAGAATTACTAACACGAAGTACCAAATGATTTCCCACAGTTCGGCATTCCCAGCGGGTATCATAAAATGTTACGCGCTTGTAAGAGGGATACATTGCAAATAATAGACGAGCGCTCAGCCAATCAGAAACTGAGGTAAGATAATTCTTACTGTTGATATTTGAGATTCATTGTGTTTCCATTTTCCGTTTGTAAAACCATGCACTGTTGCAGTACAGGCGTTTTATTGTTCAGTACACTGTACATTAATTGATGGTGTGGTTCAGATAACAGAAGCAAAATCCTTGTTGTTCATACGACATAAGCCTGAACCTTATAAAAGTACTCATATTTAAAGTCCTGATTGTCTAAATTTACAATTAATAACATCAAAATGCTCTCTTTGCATCTTTTCGACATGGAAACATGGTAAAGTGAGGAAAGAACCTTTCATCCGTGTTCTGACATAACTATGAACTGTGAGCTCACCTGCTCATGACCATGGAATCAGATGCCGGGATGCTGACATAATGACTATAAACCTGAAACAAGTTCAGGCTGCAACCTGGCTTGAACCCTGTTACTCCGTGTTTTGCAATGTTAACCTAAGCAGTACAAGTGTTTCATTCCTTATAATGAACCCACTTGCAGAGAAGTGTTAATATTCAACTTTAACTGAGATCCGACAATACACAAACTGTTCAAAGAGTACACAATCGGCTTCTGAAACATATTTGTATAAATAATCTTACAAGCAGGATTAACACTTTAGCACTGCACAATGCTGGTATCAGTTCAGCGTGTAACAACCATTGTTCAGTGTAAACTCATTCACTTGTATAGAGGAGTTTGGTCTACCGAGTTCATCGTCCATGATCAGAACAATATTGTCTAGTTGCATACTGCATGTTGCATGTGGAAACTTTCCACATAAATCGTAGTGTATGAATATATAGAAAAGTAGACATATATATCTGAAAAAATAGTTTTCATTAGACTCTAATTCGTACTTCTAAAGAAGGTAAAATGTCCTTCCCTCAAGAACTTTGAGAAGGGTGATGGAAGTTAGTTATAACAATTTGGCTTTCATGTATGGAAATGAAGATGGGAAGTAATTCTACTCTTGTTAATAAATGAGGAAATCTTTTCAACGGCACTTAACATGTTTTGTTTCTTTCTTCGTCAATGAACTTAAGTAACGTATTTGAATACAATGTTGGTGTGAACTGTCTCATTTATTATAAAGTTGCCAATTACTGGTGGCCATTTCCGTTTACATTATCAGCCACTCATCACAAAACCCACATCTAAACGTTGTGGGACTTCGGGCAATAATTGTATTCAGAGCATGCAGATGTTGTATTGGTTTCTAGTTCCTGCTCTTTGACACCCAATGCACATGTATCGTGTCGGTAAATCAAGTGTATTGTGCTTGTACATTGCAATGACACTCAGTGTACGTTAAGTTTATTTCGCATCCGGTACTTTACTGCCTCTTACAGGAACCGATGCTTTTCTCAAAATGCGAATTTGAGGGACTTGACTATCCATTTCAGTTCTATAACGACACGTCCTTGGGGAGGAAAGGTCAAGGTGATGATTGTCGTAGTAGAACGCTCCCAATCACACAATATGGAAAAGACATTATTTTCGTTTAGGTGTTTGCTGATTCAGTCTGATAGTTTACCACGCTAACGGAGAAAAAGCCACTCACTGCCTTGCTAGTTGTAATGTTTGTGTTGTTTTCTTTGTTCTTCTCTTCATGTTACGTTCCTGCTTGACAGGTACAAGAACCTGTATCGAAACACCGCACTCACAAAGTAAGAGAAGGTGTTGTCCAGAACATGTTCACCATTGTTCTACCCAACTTCCAAAATGTCACACAAAGATGTACCCACGGTCTTTTTCTGCAATAATGGAGCACACAACTTTAACAACAACTTCCGGTTTATTGCATAGAGCGAGGTCGACGTTTTAAGCTGTATAACGGTGTAATAATCTACATCGAAACGTCTTTCCATGCAATTAACAAGAAGTTTGTTATCCATGAAGGATATGCCTCATTATTGACCCGCCAACTTCTAGAATGACGATCAAAGAAATAGTTTTCTGCCACTGATGACGTAACTCTATGACTGCTACCTGTGATCACGTATTTGCTGTTGAAACTAAGCAGCATTACATGATTTGCTACTTATAATTTCTTAAATGAATTAATTTCCAGTGTCATTAAAGTTCTTACCTCTCATTTGTCATTCTATATGCAGTGTTTTCTACCACGCATACACCTTGGTAGACTTAAGAAGTGAAGTAAAGAGTCGCGTATAACACTCATTCTCAAAATAAGTGCACAATTACTAAAATTTCACGTCGCCTCCATATACAATACATTTTCCGGTAAAGACTTGATTAAAACGTTACAATATATGATTGATTTAATTTAAAATCGTAGTGGCAACATAATAATTAACCTTAGTGTCACACTTTGCAGTCCATATTTGTGAAAAATGCCCCAGCTAAGAAAGAACTTGTCAAAATAGGAATGTCTCCAACAGGAGATGGTATATCGACTCTGTTTGTGAGATGACATGCTGGGTTGTGGAAGCGGAAACAAGTGTCTAATGACAGCACGGGATCTATTTAGACAACTTTTAAGAAGTCATACAGTTTAGCGTTCTCTTAAACTTCATCAACAAAAATTAAATTTTATATGTTGCTGTTTTTATGTATTTTACGTTATGGACTAAAATTCAGCTGAAATTCAATTCTAACTTGTAGTGAACATCTGTATTATCGCGTAGTTAGTTTATTTAATTGTGGAATAAAAGAAAAACAGAAACGTTTCATATCATAGGGGGTGTCTTTACATACTTGAGTTTAACAACTTTCTATTAAGATATAATCGTATGGTTAAGGATGTATTTTACGTTATGGTATTTCTGGCAAAATGGAGAAAATAAACACGCGCAAATCAAACTGTGGGTTGGTTATGGTTAGGTGCTAACGATGCCAGCAAATGGAGAAATCTACAAAGCTATGCCAAATATGTCGTGTGCTACCAGTGAACATCGTCATAGTATTTTACGTTATGTATTATACGTTATGTTTATGACGTAATACATTTATTGTCTATACATGATCAGCTATATACATTAATTTAAATCCAGGGTGATAAATTATCAAATATAGGTTGTAACATACATACGTGGATTAGCGCACTTGTATTACGATAGTACGATACGATGCTCATGTGATGAACGATGGTATAACGTAAAATGAACCTGTATATTTGAGGAAATCTTTAAAGCTGTGTAAACGTTACATTTGCAATGTGCCGTTACTGACAATAAGTGTTATCGGTTTGAAGTTACTTAGGTGTAGTTTATGCTGAAAGATAGTCGTGTGTGTAAGGTCAAACGTATCTTCCACGAACATAATGTTTTTCATAACATAAAATACAAGATTCATAACGTAATATACAATTGAAACCTACTTCCATCCGTATTAGGTATAATACTACGGACGATGTTTAGGACAGTGACTTTTTATTTCTAAGAGTCTATGAATATATATTCTTCATTATAAATGAATACAATTTGAAAAGTATACACATTTTATTGTTTAAACTACAGTTATCAATAATAAAAAAAATCATAATTTACAATTTTGGACCATGATAGCAAGAAATTAGGGTTTGAAATGGATGTTAAAAATTCATAAACGTTTACAAACACTTGACCTTTGCACAATGCAACTTACAACCTCTTATTCCAACTTTAGAATTTTTCAAAATACATATTTGCAATTGTGCACTTACATTGAGAATGAGTGATAAGAGTGTTCCTTTGGACATAACTATTGCTGTATATTACAGAACCATGCAGGTGCTGACTGATGAAACATTTGGAGCCTCCCCGGACTTCACGTACTTAAGCCATTTCGTTATTTAGCCCGGGCTTGATAACGGGAAAAGAATAACGTTTTAAAGCCCATGGGCGTAAATTAGATCATGAAAATGGAGTGATTTCCTTCCCGGATGATTGCTGAATCGTGTTTACATGGACAGTTTCAATCGCTATTGCACCCTTACTGCTGTAAGGGGATTTCATATTTACAAAATCGTTTTGGTCGTTTTTTTCCTTTTAAGCCCTGGGCTTAAATTCAAGTCAAATGTTATCTTGTCAAAACAGGCAAAATCCACAATTAAGCTGGTAATTAAGCCCAGGTAATTAAGCCCAACGTGCAGTCCCAGTATTATCGTTGTAAGAATAGTTTCAATATTTTATGTAAGTTTTGGTGACTTTGTCTGAGTGAGTTAGTCGGGCTGCTATATTGCCAAGTCAGTCAGTCTCCCTGTTTCACAATACCGAAAGTAGCTGAAGGATTTCATGATCGTTTGCTCACGACAAGACGAGGAGAGGAATTAATCACAACAGTAGTTTTGTGAGTTAGTTTTGGTTTTGTTTTCATTAAACCATACAAACCCATATCCATGTGAGAATAATAGTGTCCTTATAATGCGATACCAATGTAACCTTACCGATACTATCTACATGAAAGAGTATGTTTAAGTTTATTTTCGGAATCAGATATTCTGGACTATGGATGATATTAAACGAATATTTTAAACTCTTTCTTTGCGAATTAATGTAAAGTAGGTATCTTCCACATTCTCCATATATCATATTATTTGGAAACAAAAAACTTTTGGCATACCAGCAGGTGAATTCTGTCTAAACATTCAAATCTTTGGTAACCCCACACTTGGGATCCATACAATAGAATTGGCTGTATTTGGGTATGAAATGATTTGATAAGGTGTAATAACACCAAGTTTATGCGAAACCGACAGCATTTTAAGTAAAGCTCGTTTTCCGCGCAGTGATAAGTCAGAAACACATTTGTCCATATTTAGTGTTGAATAAAACATTATACCAAGATACTTATAACCTTTAACTACGTTGTCCATTTTAAGTACCATCTTTCCTTAAATATTAAAGGGGCCCCTTCCCGAAGACTATCATATCTGTAATCTAACCTGATCTTCACCGTTTAACAACACTGATCTTCAATAGGACAGTTTCCACGAACCAGTCAGAAATGACACACAAGCTTTAGGGAGAGGCGTCATGATATATGTTAGTAAATGTGCCTTCAAAAGGGTGGTAGATCTAAAAATATTCATAACAACACTATTTCGACATTATAATGCTATTTCTTCCACAAAAACCTTTAATATTCTGTGTTGTATACAGACCAGAGCATACAATTATATATATTGACAACATGTAGAAACAGCTCAAAATACATCAGGTAAGAGTATGATATAAATGAAACGTTGCTGTCTTGTAAAACATACATATACTCGGACCTAAGTTACGTAAACAAATTCATCGCTCTTCTAAGAGTTATTTATTTCTTTGGTATGTCATGTCAAATCGCAGACATATAAAAAGTATTCATCTTTAGGCAGTATCTTCTGGAACATTTTCGAAACTAGTATGACCCTGCCGCCATTGCATCGTGCACGAATCAAAACTTACTTCGCCAAGAGTAGTCCTGCGACAACTATAAAGTCATTTGCATATTTTCTGTCCTAAAAATATAACAGGAAGTGGCATGAAAAGTGTATGGCACGTTTTAAGGATGCAACAAATATTTTGTTACATTACTGTTACTTTGTATCCAAATGAATAGAAGTTTCGGATGTTTTGGTAAAAACATTCTCTTCCCACTTGTCATATCTTCCTACGAACCTCTGTTCTAGTACGGCCATATTTTATATTCTCTTAAAATCCCCTAGCGGCAAAAGATCGCACCACGAATTATCTCCCTTCTTTGTAGCCAATCAGAACACGTGTTACATCGACTTAGATTCAACTTGACCAACACAGGCAAATGTGGGGCTACAAATATCCCCGTCTGCCGGGGACTTGTGTTGATGTTAAGCACACGAGACGTTTAATGGCTAGCTTGTCCGTTGTCAACGAGGGCGATGGAGACGCCACTGATCCGCCATAACATGACTGGAGTTCTGTCTAGAAGAAACGTTTGCGCATCGCGCAGGGGAATAGGTTTATTTTTTATCGAAGCATACGGAAATTACCGAGGCCTTGCGAATGATCACTTTTACGGAAACAACGTCACTGATTGCACAACTAAATCTGATTGTAACCAATCACGAATCCTGAACACTCGCACCATGAAAGGACCGTATTAGAACAGAGGTTCGTAGGAAGATATGACAAGTAACCTCCTGTGGGAAGAGAAATGAGTAAACAAATGATATATTACTAATGGTACTGGAATTCTAAATAATCATTAATATTAAAACTGTTTAGATACGTCACTTTGTCTTAAAGACACTATGTCACACCATAGGCGGATCCAGGGTGTGTGTGTGTGTGCAGGGTGCCCCCCCCCTTGTGCTGAAAGTTTGTTAAATGACCATTGAAACTCGGGTGAAATTAAAGTGTGCACCCTCTCAATAGTGTGCACCCCCCACTTTCTCAAAACAGCTGGATCCGCCCCTGCACACCACATGTCTCTAAAAAAGAAATGATGCATTTCTCCCAATAAAACTAACTATCGGCCCTAAGGGGAAGCTACCATATAATTAATTCCAAACAAACTTACGTATTTAGATTACAATATAAAATGTAAAAGTTTAAATGAATTAATGCCATTCAATTATTTCAAGCGAAGCCCATAGAGTAGTGTCCCTTAGAGTGCTCTCTTTATGAATATCGTATAGCTCCTGTAGACACAGAAAACAATTCGGCAAACACCGACAACACCGCTTGCGGCAGTTTTCGATGTAATGGAGCAATTGTTTACAATCCATATATGGCAAGTGTTCTCTGTTTGGAAGCTATTCGCCTCGAAGTATCAATTATCGATTACAGGCAAGTCGTAAGGGATGATAGGTCTTTACTGCATCAACAGGAAGCTAAAGTGAGTGCATATGCCCCAATATGTATAATATAGGCCAAAATCTTGTCGAAAATGTGTGACATATAGAGTCTTTAAAGGGCACTATATAAATATCCTATAATACAAAAAAGATAATTCAAGGGAACTTGATTGACATGTACGTCAGATGCCGTGGAAGGTAATCTCAACAGAAAATGTTTACGTCACATCGGCAATATTTCAACCATATCTTGACGACAATTTGCATGTAAGTACTAAATATATTAGGAATAAGAAACCTCTTATCGATTGACAGTAGAATATCTAGATTATCACAGGTATAAGTTAAAACTAGTTGATGACATTTAAAAAGAATAAATTAACAAACGACTAAACATTGTAAAAGTCGGCTGTAGATCGCCAGTACCTAAAGATAGATCACCATACTAGGGACCATGAGTAGTGTGCAACGTTACCCTGGCGCCTTTTTTCAAGATGGCGGCACATCCGGTCCCCGTGGCGCCGCCATCTTGGATCCGGTCACTTCCGGTCAGGGGAGATCACTCGCGTTCCGGTTCCGGTGGGTGCGTACGCATCGCGATGACGTCACGTCCGGTTCCGGTGGTGATTGCGCGCATGACGATGACGTCATCTCCGGGCCAAGATGGCGACGCGTTTCAAGATGGCGTCCCCGGTGAGATTTCGCGGGATCGCGTGGATTCTCGCAGGATCTCGCGAGCGTAGACGCCTTTCAAGATGGCGGAACGGACGAGCGGCGGATGGGACGGAGAGGGAAGGGAAGGAGAGGAAAGGAGAGGAAAAGGAGGGAGGGAGGGAGAGGGGGTGAGGCGGACGATGGCGTGGCTAGAAGAAGTGTGTGTGTGTGGGTGGTTAAAAGCTTTGGATGTAGCCTTCTTTCGAGCGAGGTGGGTGGCCCTGAAAGGGCCGTTGGTATCAGTGTGGGTGAGAGATCACCGAGGTATCTATTGTGGTGATGGTGGTGCACTGGAGGCAGTGCTGCTGGAATCGTCCATGGGTTCCACAAACTCCAAGATGCGTTAAGTAGAGAGTGCATGCTGTCTATGTGGTCTTGAACGAGGAGGACCCTATCATGGAGTAGAGCCAGTAGATGTTGGCTTTCACGTTTACTCACTCTCTTTGGCGGTTCACTTGGCTGGTGGGTGGATGCCGGACGTTTCTGGGCCTTGTTAGATCAGTTCATACTCTTATGGTCCTCTTTACCACAGTGACGACAGGGATGTGGACAGGCGTAACTGAGATGACCTTCGTTTTTCCACAGTTGTAGCAGGTGTTGTTATCGTGCTTGTTGTTGTCCTTGGTCTTCTTGGGACATACGTAATGGCGATGCCCCTTGAGCACCACACTCGGTACAGGACACCTTGGGACAGTGTAGATAACTGTGGTCATCTGTTTCGCACAGGCGGCAACGGAAGGAGACGGAGGCGGGAGACGACTGCATGCTTCCAGTTTCAGTGAGCAACTGATAGGGAGAGCTGGAAAATCTCGAATTTATATAGCTGGGGTTGATGACGTCACTTTGACGCATCTGGTTCGCACCGGTTGCATCCGGTTCGCACTTTCACTCCGATCCTGACTCATCAGGTCGATAGGCTAGTGTGACGTCATGGGTATGTCATCATTCCTATAAATAACATATGAGGTCATGGTGCACTGCCACGCTTAGGACGGCCTATTGTGACGTCATAGGGTGACGTAACCTATATAAACCAGGCTCAGCGTGGGTCTTACCAGTTCTCACCATGCCGTCACCACGAATGAACGAAGATGAGCTTGAAGAGGAGCCTGTGCCGTACCAGTTGGAGCAGACGACCCAAAAAAACAACCAAAAATTCCGGACTGATACTCAGCGCTACAACCTGACGTTCAATCCAGTTTGGCTGCAGCGTCAACAGACCTCCCCGTCGTTCCTCAGAGAACAGTTTGATGCAGTGTTAACAGATTTGAGAGACGATGTGGGCGGACAGGATGGTGATCGTGTGGGATTGGCCCTGGAACACTCCAGCCTTGATACACCCATCCGAATCACGTTTCAGCGGATGGGTGACCTCCAGGGGGAACAACACATCATGGCCGAAGTGGAAAAAGTACAGCTGTAAAGCAACCACGACTTTACATATCGATGACACCATGGACATATACTTACTGCATGTAGAGGATCCTGATCGTATCGGTGAGGGACACGGCCGGCCAAGGCACCTCATCGGCTTAAACACTTTCCTGGAAAAGAAACAATGCATCAACCAAATCAAGAATGAGGATCAGCTCTGCTTTGCCCCGTGCCCTGGTCGTGGCCAGTCACCATGAACACAAACCCGATCCTGTGACCAAAGAATGGGCCAAGGAATGGAAATACCTCTGTGACCATCGTAAACCAGCACAGTTGAAAGCCGCCAAGGGCTGGTTTCGCCAACTCAAGATCCCCAAAGGTCCGTGTACAGGACATCCCACGTGGAGTTGTTCAGTCAACGTTTGGCACCTTACTATCAGCTCAAAGTCTACTCCCAAGATATGATGAATCGACTCCTGTACAAGAGTGAAGTGCCTCAACCCACCAAGATCCTTCACTTGTATCATCACCATCAGCATTACGATGTCATTACATCCATGACTGCCTTCACAGGGTATAGTTACTACTGTGAAACTTGTGACCAAGGATACGACCACGCTGAAGATCATCGCTGCACCCGAGAATTTCAATGCCACTGGTGCCAATGTCTTGGATACTGTGGCGACGTGGACAATGAAGGACTCTCCTGTCTCCAATGTGGCGGATGGTTCCGAAACCCTACCTGTTTTCAACGCCATAGGACGGCCTCCGCCAAGCATCATCCCAGCACCTGCTCCACCATCCACGTGTCATCGATGTCTGGCCAAAGTCAATGTGAGGAAAATCCAGGGCATGGCCAACCACCAGTGTGGCACGAATCGTGACTGTAAGATCTGCAAAGAACCCTTGAAACCCAACCACCAGTGCTACATGTCCGTCATCGAACCACCGAAACAAAATGAAGACGGTGAAAACAAGGATGAAGACAAAGAACGACAACAGCGTCAGTTCATCTTCTATGACTTTGAATGTACTCAAGATCAAAGGAACTCATGTTCCCAACTGTGTGTGGTGCATCTAGGATGCGGAAATGTATTTCCGAGGCCTCGGATCAACTGTGTGACAAGTGTCCCTGGCGTAAGGAAGGAGAAGGGGCCTAGCCGCATCAAAGTGTTTCGAGGGATCTACGACCTTGAAGGACATGGGCGACTGGCTGATGGTCCTGGCAGAAAAGAAAGAGAAGCAGAAGAAGAAACGTAAGGCACCCCAGCAGCAGCCGTCGGGCCGTGCCTCCAAACAACCCAAACTGTCATCACCAGAAGCCGATGATGATGATGTAGAACAATAAGACGAGGACAAAGAACAAGACGACGAAGATGACATTTCTCCTACCATTGACGATGACGACGTTTTGGTCATTGCTCACAAGTACCGTGGGTATGATGGACACTTGCTCCAACAGTACTTCCATCAACATCTCGTGAAAGCACCCTAGGGTCACACTTCGAGGGAATCACATCTTGCAGATGACCGTGGGATGCCTTGTTTTCAAGGATTCACTCAACTTCCTCACGATGGCTCTGAAGCAGTTTCCAAAACATTTGCATTGACGGAACTCAAGAAAGGCTACTTCCCTCACTTCTTCAACACCGAAGCTCACCAAGGCTATGTGGGTCCTTATCCTCCCGTGTCTACCTACGATCCTGACAGCGTGTTTCCTGCCGAACGTAAAGCTTTCTTGGCCTGGTACGATGCACGGGTGGCTGAAAAGGACTGTCTTTGATCTGATGAGGAATTGTTGACCTACTGTCAGAGTGGATGTGGACATTTTGCGTCGAGGCTGTGCTGCATTCCGCAACATATTCATCCAACAGAACAACGTGGACCCTTTCTATGAAGCGGTGACTCTACCCATGGCTTGCATGCTCACCTTCCGAAAACAGTTTTGGAACCCGCACCATCGCCATCCTACCTACTCAAGGTTATCACCCCCCAGCGTCGCTACTCGCTTCAGTGTCTCCACTGGCTCAACTGGGTCATGCATCAACACCCTGTTGTCCACATTCAACATGCTCGGAATGGTGGAGAAGTGGGCTTTGACTGTGCTGACGGTAGCCGCTATATGGTGGATGGCTACGATGCCAAGACACACACCGTGTACGAATACTTTGGGCTGTTTCTGGCATGGATGTACTCGCTGTTACAAGACGGGCCGATGTGAACACCATGCTAGTTTGGGTTCAACCCTTGGGAACGATACCATCATACCATGTACCGACTGGGTGTTAGCGTCAACATCCCTACATCGACCAAGTGGTGACCCCTCTGGGAATGCGATTTTCTGAAACAACAGAAAGACAATGGCGACCTGAGAGCCTTCCTGACCCCACTGCAAGGACCCCATGCCTACATGTCTGACCCGTTGGATCCTAGAGATGCTTTCTTTGGAGGTCATACCAACGCCACCAAACTGTACTATAAAGCCAAAGGAGATGAAGAAATTAAATATGTGGACGTTTGCTCGCTGTACCCTTACATCTGCAAGTATGGTACTTTTCCCGGGGACATCCTGAGATCAAAGATCATCCTCCCGTGTCTGACTTGTTTGAGCTCCACGGTCTGATCCAGTGCCGAGTCTTGCCACCCACCGACCTCTATCATCCTGTTCTTCCCACAAGTGTCAAGGCAAACTGCTCTTCCCTCTGTACCGTACATGATGGTGCTGAAGAGCAGTTGGATGCTTCCTGCCCCCCACGGGGATGAAGACCGGGCATGGATCGGTACCTACGTCAGCAAAGAGCTTCAGTTTGCTGTTGAATAGTGTGGCTATCAGGTGCTTCTACATCTTTGAGAGGCTTGGCACTTTGACACGCTCGCCACCTACGACCCTGACACTCAAGAGGGAGGACTGTTTCGCTGTGTGAGCAATTTCTTCAAGATCAAGCAAGAGGCCAGTGGATACCCAGAAGGCTGTCCAGACCCACACGCCTGCATCAACGAGATACAGCGAAAAAGAGGGTGTCACCTTGGATCCTGCTCACATTCGCAAAACCCAGGACTACGTGCTTTAGCCAAAGCCTGCCTGAACAATCACTGGGGCAAGTTTGGTCAACGCGTTGGGTTTTGCCAAGACGGAATATATCAGTTCCCCTGAGAGGTACTTTGCCCTCCTCCGGGATGAGCGCTGTGTGGTGAAAGACATTAACAT